CCATCTCTGCTAAAAATAAAAAAATTAGCCAGGTGTGGTGGCACACACCTGTAATCCCAGCTGCTCAGGAAGTTGAGGCAGGAGAATCACTTGAACCGAGGAGATGGAGGTTGCAGTGAGCCGAGATCATGCCACTGCACTCCTGCATGGGTGACAGAGTGAGACTCCACCTCAAGAAAAAAAGAAAAAGTATGCCGAGCGCGGTGGCTCATGCCAGCACTTTGGGAGGCCGAGGTGGGTGGATCACGAGGTCAGGAGATCGAGACCATCCTGGCTAACACAGTGAAACCCTGTCTCTACTAAAGAATACAAAAAATTAGCCGGCCGTAGTGGCGAGCGCCTATAGTCCCAGCTACTCAGGAGGCTGAGGCAGGAGAATGGAGTGAACCCAGGAGGCGGGGGTTGCAGTGATCCGAGATTGTGCCACTGCACTCCAGTCTGGGCAACAGAGCAAGACTCCATCTCAAAAAAAAAAAAAAAGAAAAAAAAAGAAAAAGTATGAATAGAAAATGAAAAACCCCAAAAAAGGAAACGTAAATTAAGAAGAGACTGAAAAGAACCAAAAAATCCAATCCTTTAGAAACAAAGAACCAAATTCATTTGATAGAAAAATATTTTAAAAGCAAGGAAGTCTAGGTACCCAAAGTACCAAAAGAAAAGAAGGCCGAAAGGAAAACAGAGTGGCCATGGATCCTGTTTTTTTAAAGACAAGATTGTAGGGGAAAATCATAGTATCTTTTCCTCACTCATTGCAAGATTCAGACTGACATCCCTCATAAAAGACAGATTAACAAGAGAAAAACCTATAAAAATTTATTTAATATAAATTTTATATGACATAAGAGCCATCAGAAATGAAGACTCAAAAACCCAGGGAAAACTATGTATATTTATGGACGATCATGCAGAGGACAAATGGGTACGACCTAATGGTATCAAACTCAGGGGAGCTGGCTGGGCACAGTGGCTCACAGCTGTAATCCCAGGACTTTGGGAGGCAGAGGCAGGTGGATCACCTGAGATTAGGAGTTCGAGACCAGCCTGGCCAACATGGCAAAACCCTGTCTCTACTAAAAATACAAAAATTAGCCAGGTGTGGTGGTACATGCCTGTAATCCCAGTTATTTGGGAGGCTGAGGCAGGAGAATCGCTTGAACCCAGGAGGCAGAGGTTGCAATAAGCCAAGATCACGCCATTGCACTCCAGCCTGGGTGACAGAGCAATACCCCATCTCGAAAACAAAAATAAATAAACTTGGGGGAATAAGGCCGATTTGATCAGATTTTTCTTGGCCTCTGGGGATAGAGAAGACTCCCTCTGATATAAGGGTCTTCTGACCTACTTTCAAGAGAGGCAGGTCAGATAATTATTTTATGGCCTGCTTCAGGAAAGAAAGGTGGCAGAAGGTCAGAGAGTGACCTTCCTGCTTCTGCAGTGTTCTCAATTTCCTTCAACTTAAAATACTCAGTATGCCAAGGTGCCACATTTTGGGGTGTCATGTTCTGAGCCCCAACAAGACCAAAAAGTAGTAAATCCTCTATGTAAGAAAGGCAAAGAGTATGGGCTTTGGTCTGATATCCAGCCTAATAGGGACTTTTTACTTTTTCAGATGGCCCTGTTATAACCATCCCAGTGATGGCCGGGCGCGGTGGCTCACGCCTGTAATCCCAGCACTTTGGGAGGCCGAGGCGGGCGGATCACAAGGTCAGGAGATTGAGACCACGGTGAAACCCCGTCTCTACTAAAAAAATACAAAAAATTAGCCGGGCGCGGTTGTGGGCGCCTGTAGTCCCAGCTACTCGGGAGGCTGAGGCAGGAGAATGGCGTGAACCCGGGAGGCGGAGCTTGCAGTGAGCCGAGATTGCGCCACTGCACTCCAGCCTGGGCGACAGAGCGAGACTCCGTCTAAAAAAAAAAAAAAAAAAAAAAAAAAAATAACCATCCCAGTGACAAAAGATCTAGCTTTTCTAAAATTACCCGGTTCAGCTTGTGCTTGGGTTATCCAACAAGCTGCTCTATGATACTGACCAGAGACAGGCTGAAAAAGTGAATGCAGGCCCAGAAAAAAGCTGCCAGTCAATGGAAATTCTCCACCCAAGAACCATATGATTTTCACGTAAGTATGAATACTGCCACCGTCTAAGTGGAGAACAAGAATAGACAGCAACAGTGACTGCACATGAGAGGAGACCCCTTGATCTGCATTTCTCATTGCTCATCTTGTTCATAAAATCAGGGTTCCCTACTACATCATCAAGGGAAAGGTTAGATCAAGTCACAGGATGACCTACATCAGTCTCACTTTCATACGGCTTAACTGGAAAGATAGTTGTATGCTGGCTGAGCTGGTAGAGGCCATCAGAACTAATTACAGTGATAACTATGATACAATCTGACATCACTAGAAGACAATGACTTAGGTCCAAATTCTGTAATTCACAATGTCAAGTTGGAAAAGAAAAAGGCTCAAGAGCTTGCCACAAAACTAGTTTAAATATACTCGGTTAACTTCCCTGTAAATAAAAATAAAACATCCCCTTAAAACAAAAAGCTATTGAGGCATAGAAACCAGGAAATAAAAACTAGGATGTGACTTCCTATCCTATCCCAAAGAAAGGTCATGAAATAAAACACATTCACACATAAAATCTTTGGAACATTTGGGACCTCATTGAAAATGAATGTTTAATTTCTAAAGGATGCAGAATCCATTTTCTTATGTTCTAAGAAGGAGTCAGGGTCGGGCGCAGTGGCTCACACCTGTAATCCCAGCACTTTGGGAGGCTGAGGCCGGCGGATCACGAGGTCAAGAGATCGAGACCATCCTGGCCAACATGGCGAAACCCTATCTCTAATAAAAATGTAAAAATTAGCTGGGCGTGGTGGCGTGTGCCTGTAGTCCCAGCTACTCGGGAGGCTGAGGCAGGAGAATTGCTTGAACTTGGGAAGGCAGAGGTTGCAGTGAACCCTGCACTCCAGTCTGGCGACAGGGCAAGACTCCACCTCAAAAAAAAAAAAAAGGAGTCAGGCAGCAGCAGCAGTATACTTCTCATTCTGTGCTATTAATTCTAACAGGAGTCAACTATCTGGACTAGATGATAAGTCTGAATTTTCTTGGTATCATAAACCATTAAAAAAAAAAAACTTGTATAGACTTTGTGGATGTGAGTGCATTACTGCTGGCCTGGCGAAAGAAGCTTACACTGTCGGCCGGGCGCGGTGGCTCAAGCCTGTAATCCCAGCACTTTGGGAGGCCGAGAGGGGCGGATCACGAGGTCAGGAAATCGAGACCATCCTGGCGAACACGGTGAAACCCCGTCTCTACTAAAAAATACAAAACACCAGCCGGGCGAGGTGGCGGGCGCCTGTAGTCCCAGCTACTCAGGAGGCTGAGGCAGGAGAATGGCGTAAACCCGGGAGGCGGAGCTTGCAGTGAGCCGAGATCGCGCCACTGCACTCCAGCCTGGGCGACAGAGCGAGACTCCGTCTCAAAAAAAAAAAAAAAAAGCAGCTTACACTGTCAAGATGATTTTATCAGCAAGTTTTTTAATTGCTATCTCAAATAACAAGAAATTGGGAAGCAGGGCAGTTCAAGTATTGGCTACATCAAGGACTCAACAATGTCAGGCATCTCAGTTTTTTCTATCCTCTGTGCTGCCATCCTCAGTACATTGTTTTTTTGTTTGTTTTGTTTTTGAAACGGAGTCTCGCTCTGTCACCCAGGCAGGAGTGCAGTGGTGTGATCTGGGCTCACTGCAACCTCTACCTCCCAGGTTGAAGCGATTCTCCTGCCTCAGCCTCCCAAGTACGTGAGATTACAGGTGTGAGCCACCACATCTGGCTAATTTTGTATTTTTAGTAGAGACGGGGGTTTCACAATATTAGCCAGGCTGGTCGTTGGTCTCGAAGTCCTGACCTCAAGTGATCCGTCCACCTCAGCCTCCCAAAGTGCTGGGATTACAGGCTTGAGCCACCATGCCCAGCTAGTACATTGTTTTTGTCCTCTGGATTAGCCCCCTCATCTAACAACAGTTAGAAATTAGCCATTCTTTATTACAAGGAATGATCTAAGAGACCCTGCCCCCAAATTCACAAGCAATTAGAAAGCAGTTAGGAGAAAAAAGCTACTTTGCACATAAAGCATAATGAATTCCTTTATTATAGTGAAAGGTAATAAAACTGGAAAAATAAACATGTATCTTCTTTAAACAAAAATTCAATATGGCAATACAAAAATTAGCCAGCCTTCATGGTGAGCTCCTGTAGTCCCAGGTACTTGGGTGGCTGAGGCAGAAGAATCACTTGAACCCAGGAGGCAGAGGTTGCAGTGAGCCAAGATCACGCCACTGCACTGCAGCCTGGGTGACAAGAGCAAAACTCCGTGTTAAAACAAAAAAAGCTGGGCTGGGTAGCTCACGCCTGTAATCCTAGCCCTTTGGGAGGCCGAGGTGGGCAGATCATCTGAGGTCGGGAGTTCGAGACCAGCCTGACCAACATGGAGAAACCCCGTCTCTACTAAAAATACAAAATTAGCTGGGCATGGTGGCGCATGCCTGTAATCCCCGCTACTTGGGAGGCTGAGGCAGGAGAATCACTTGAACCCAGGAAACAGGAGGTTGCAGTGAGCTGAGATCACGCCACTGCACTCCAGCCTGGGCAACAAGAGCGAAACCTCGTGTCAAAACAAAGAAACAAAAAATTCAATATAGCTGCCCAAAATAACTAAAAACAACATAGTGGTGAAGAGTTAAACTTTCTCTTCACACAGTAGCGCTATATATATAAATCATTCAGCCTGGTAACTTCTCATGAAGTATTTCATCTTTCCTAAAATCATATTAATTAATTATAATTTGTTTAAATTAATTCAGACATTATAATAATCATCTCTTTTTAATATTTAAATACCATTAGACTAACACTTTGATCATTTGGCAAAACTCCCATTTTGAGTCAAAAATGTCCATATATTTACATATTTACTCTTTGGAGAAGGTTACCTCTAGATCTCTTGACTGTTTCACCCTTTTCTACGAAAGTGTATGCGACTTATAAGTTCTTTGAACTTCAGTATTAAGGAGTAGTTGTTCATGTTGTCTTTCCATATTTCATAAGTCCTTCTAAGTTTGTCATAATAACTTTCTTTTTTCAAGTTGAAATCTGATCCTGTTGTTTTTAGAAAACTGTCCTTTTTCCATATTCTCCAGGAATCTTTTAATTTTTCCAAATAACTTTCTTTTTCAGAGTCTTCCTTCCATATTCCTTCTCCTTTTTTTAAGGCTGTTAATTCAGCTTTAAGTAAGTTTCTGTGAACTCTCCAATAGATTTTAGAATCATATTTAAGCCCTTTAACAAGAACAGTTTTGCCAAGACCTCTTCTCAAAATTTCTTCATTCAGATTCACGCTGAAATATCCACCCTTGAATTTAAAAATAATACAAACCAATTATTTAAGATAATTGTTGTTAAACCCATCACATCTTATTTACCTTAAAAATCAGTCATTCAACAATTTTAGTCCTCCAAAGAAAAGGCAAAAATGGTCCCCAAGGCTCCCCCAAAACAGCTCTTGCTAAATCCAAGGATTTTTATTACTAGAAGAGACCCTTTCTCAAAATCAGTTAACTCTTTTATACCATGGAATTCTCCACAGACTCACTGTTCTCCTCACCCAAAGTGGTGAGGAAGCAATAAAGTACGAAAAATGTGTTTTTGGTCTATCGGTGGTTCTATGGAGGGGAGGTGGGATGCACAAGATAGGCAGAATGACAGCAGGACCAGCAAAAGAAACTAAGAGACGAAGAGAAACTAAACTGAAAGTAGTGGTCAAATGCAAAATCATCACTGAACTGTTAAATGAGGTTCAGAATTCCAGTGTTTTGGACAGCACTGGCAAGTAAATACACTTTTAAAAGACCTCCCTCAAAATTATTAAATTAAAATTATAAAAATAGTTTGGGCCATTGAGTCTTCATCCTACAGGAAATTTCATTCATGGAATACCTCACCTCCTAATGAAACTGGATAAATGGGATTTTTTTTTTCATTAATTTACTGTATAAAGGAGATCCTGGCGGGGCGCAGTGGCTCATGCCTGTTAATCTCAACACTTTGGGAGGCCGAGGCAGGCGGATCACGAGGTCAGGAGTTCGAGACCAGCCTGGCCAACAAGGTGAAACTCTGCCTCTACTAAAAAAACACAAAAATTAGCCGGGTGTGGTGGCAGGCGCCTGTAATCCCAGCCACTCAGGAGGCTGAGGCAGGAGAATTGCTTGAACGCGGGAGGCGGAGATTGCAGTGAGCCGAGATCGCGCCATTGCACTCCAGCCTGGGTGACAGAGCAAGGCTCCATCTCGGGAAAATAAATAAATAAATAAAAGGAGATCCTGCCTAGATACTTCTACAATCCTTGTGGGATTTTAATCTTAACAAAGGGTTAATAAAATTCTGTTCCTTCAAATTCAGAAATTTTTAGTACATGATAACAGTTATAAAGCAATTATATTTTTCTAAATCTTTCAAATCTTATAAGCTCATTCCCTTGAACCAAACTCAGAAGAATTAAAAGTCCACCTCACACATTAGCAAAATTCAAACAGGAGAAGTAAATTATCACTCTATGTGTATAGCGTAGTTTGGTCAACTAGGAAGCGAGATAAAATAGAGATATGCTTATAAGATGAAATGTAGGCTCAGGAGCCAGGAAGAGTTGGGTTTGAATACAGGCTCTTCTTCTGGGTTACCCTGATCAAGACAATCAGTTTCCCTAAAAGTCTCACCTGAAAGTGGGAATAAAAACAACAACCCTGTAGAGTGGTTTTGAAGATAAGTGACATAATATAAGCATGGCACCTTAGCTCAGCGTCTGGCACATGTTGACCCTCAAAATATACATCATTGCTATCTTTATCATCATCATAATTATCTCCTTTTTTTGGTAATTATACTCTTTAATTTAAAAGCTAATATTTTTGTAAGGCCTTTGGGATGTTTTATACAACTTTGTTTTTTTTTTTTTTTTTTTTTTTTTGAGACGGAGTCTCACGCTGTTGCCCAGGCTGGAGTGCAGTGGCGCGATCTCGGCTCACTGCAAGCTCCGCCTCCCGGGTTCACGCCATTCTCCTGCCTCAGCCTCCTGAGTAGCTGGGACTACAGGCGCCCGCCACCGCGCCCGGCTAATTTTTTGTATTTTTAGTAGAGATGGGGTTTCACTGTGGTCTCGATCTCCTGACCTTGTGATCCGCCCGCCTCGGCCTCCCAAAGTGCTGGGATTACAGGCTTGAGCCACCGCGCCCGGCAACTTTGTATTATTAACTTACTTTTTTTTGTTTTTGTTTTTGTTTTTTTTGAAGCGGAGTCTCACTCTGTCACCCAGGCTGGAGTGCAGTGGCACAATCTCGGCTCACTGTAACCTCCGCCTCCAGGGTTCAAGCGATTCTCTTGCCTCAGCCTCCTGAGTAGCTGGGATTCCAGGCACCCAGCACCATGCCTAGCTAATTTTTGTATTTTTAGTAGTGACAGGGTTTCACCAAGTTGGCCAGGGTGGTCTCGAACTCCTCACCTCAAGTATACTGCCAGCCTCAGCCTCCCAAAGTGCTGAGATTACAGGCATGAGTCACCATGCCCAGCCTTTATTAACTTACTTTTAAACTTACTTTTAAAATATAAGATACTTCAATTAATTAGTTTTAGATAATTCTTATTTTGAAAGTACTGAATATCATCTGGACATGCAAAAATTAAGGAATTTCATTAAGCTTTCTATTAATAATTCAAAAAGCTTTTAAGAATTAAAATGGTCAAAATTCTAATCATCTTATTTTATTTAAAAGAAGGGGTCTGTCTCTGTCGCCCAGGTTGAAGTATAGTGGCGCGATCATAGCTCACTGCAGTCTCGACTGTGTAGGCTGAAGCATTCCTCCCACCTCAGCCTCCTGAGTTGCTGGGATTACAGGCACAAGTGACTGTACCCAGCTCATAATTATAATTTTAAGAGCTGAATATCATAGAAGTGATCAAGGTATAAAAACCTATCTGATGGCCCACCAAAAAAATCTGGAGTAAGACACATCCAGGGATTCGGGACAGTGATTCAGCAAGAGATGAAACTGTCATTTCCAGTTTTATAATGGCTATGGCCAATTATAAAGGTAAGAAAACTCTGAGGCAATATCTTTAAATGACTCATCACTGATCAGAACTAGTACCTAAGAATGTTCAACTTTATGGTTCAAAGATTTATACACTTAGACAGACCTATCAACAACATATTGGACCAGACTAAGCAAACCCTCAGGAAACACCCTGGCTGTTTGTAGTTTCCAGCTGACAAGCCTCACTCAACAAGTGGTTTATAGTAACAAGCATGATGTAATATACCCATACATAAACAAACATATAATGATACTTCCTAAATTAGCAATGCCCAGAGTCATTAATAATTTGAAGCTTATGGCCATGGTGGCTCATGCCTATATTGCCAGCACTTTGGGAGGCTAAAGCAGGCGGATCACCTGAGGTCAGGAGTTGGAGACGCGCCTGGCCAACATGGCGAAACTTCATTCTACTTAAAAATACAAAAAATTAGCCAGGCGTAGTGGTGTGCACCTCTAGTCCCAGCTACTCGGGAGGCTGAGGCAGCAGAATTGCTTAAACCTGGGAGGTAGAGGTTGCAGTGAACCAAGATCATGACACTGCACTCCAGCCTGGGCAACAGAGTGAGACTCTGTTTCAAAAAATAATAATAATAAATAATAGGCCAGGCGCAGTGGCTCATGCCTGTAATCCCAGCACTTTGGGAGGCCGAGGTGGGTGGATCACAAGGTCAAGATATTAAGACCATCCTGGTCAGCATGGTGAAACCCCATCTCCACTAAAAATACAAAAATTAGCTGGGCATGGTGGCGGACCCCTGTAGTCCCAACTACTCGGGAGGCTGAGGCAGGAGAATCACTTGAACCCGTGGGAGGTGGAGGTTACAGTGAGCCAAGATCGTGCCACTGCACTGCAGCCCGGCAACAGGGCGAGACTCCATCTAAAAATAAATAAATAAATAATAATAATAAAAAATAATAATTTGAAGTTTTTCTTTTTTCTTAATTTTATTTTTTCTATAATAAACATAAATTACATATATAACAAAAATAAAATTTGTATATAAGACACCTAGTTCTCTATGCATAATCACTATCCGTAGCAGTTTAAAAAAGCAAAAAAAAAGTCAGTCCCATTATATATCCAAAGTTCTAGTTAAATAAGTGTTTACACATAAGTAATAAGAAGAATAAGATATTGCTAGTTGTTTCTTCACACTGCTTACCTTATTCACTAAAAGATAGCAAAAGAGTGCTGAATTCTCCTTTCCAAGAAGTTGGAACCATAGTAATTGGGAAGGTTTTAGCTCTTTTTGTAACCATGCCTTCCCAGTTTCAGTGAGTTCTACTCCAGCCAGCTTAACCAGCAAAGCACCACGTGGCTCCTCTAAAAAGGTGAGGTAGAAAAGAGTTCAGCTTTAACAGCATGTTGTAAAAGCAAATTCCAGTCATTTGGCCTCCAAAACATAAACAAATATATTATGTTTATTTATAAATACCCAGTCTCTCTAAATGTAGACCCATTTATTTCTATATTCAAGTTTTCTTTTAAAACAATACAAGTATACATAACAGAGTAATTTCAAAAACCCATTTCTTTCTTTTCTTTTATTTTTTTCTTTTTTTTTTTCTTGAAACAGGCTCTCACTCTGTCACCCAGGTTGGAGTAAGGTGGCGCAATCTTGGTTCACTGCAATCTCTGCCTCCCAGGTTCAAGTGATTCTCGTGCCTCAGCCTCCTGAGTAGCTGGGATTACAGGCATGCACCATCATGCCCGGCTGATTGTTGCATTTTTAGTAGAGACAGGGTCTCGTTATGTTGGCCAAGCTGGTCTCAAAACCCCTGGCTTCAAGTGATCCACCCACCTCGGCCTCCCAAAGTGCTGGGATTACAGGCATGAGCCACCGCACCCAGCCTTCAAAAATCCATTTCAGTAAGCTTCAGAACAGGAAGTGAGATTTAACTAATTTAACCTTCTTTTTTCAACCTCCCATGCTTATTTTTACATATACACACATAAAGCTATAGACCTTCAGTTTAATAATATGGGCTATTACCACCAAAAGAACCACAGAAACTGCTTTTTCACTTATTGAAGATGTCGTCCCTTCTCAACAAATATTGATCTACATCAACACTGTTATGCTTATACATTTTGCAAAACTGACTTCTAGACAGGATTTTATCAACTGATATTCTAAGAAGCATAATATGAAGAAGACCTATTTACCCAAACCCTTGATAGAATTTTAACCAATGTAACTTTAATAACAAGATTTTACTTTAGAAAAAGTTTATAACTTTCCAAAAATGGATAACAGCTGACAAAAAAAAACTTAGTGTCTTAAAAAAAATTATACATTTAACATACATTAAGCTCTTACATAATGGTTGAAAATATAAAGTTAAATCCATCTATTCTCCAGGAAAGAAGTAATACTTTAGTTCAAGAAGATAGCCTAGAACACTGTTATAGTATTTGACAAAAAAAAAAAAAAAGTGTTCAGGATACAGGCTTCTTAAAACGTGTCCTGGAATTTTAGTTTGAGAAGCATCAAAAGGTATAAGCAATTGCACTCCTGCACTCCAGCCTAGGCGACAGGGCAAGAACTTATCTCAAAATAAAGAAGGCCAGGTGCAGTGCCTCACGCCTGTAATCCCAGCCCTTTGGGAGGCCGAGGAGGGCGGATCACCTGAGGTCAGGAGTTCAAGATCAGTCTGGCCAACATGGTAAAACCCCATCTCTACTAAAAATACAAAATTTAAGGCCAGGCGTGGTGGCTCACACCTGTAATCCCAGCACTTTGTGAGGCTGAGGCAGGTGGATCACCTGAGGTTAGGAATTCAAGACCAGCCTGACCAACATGGTGAAACCCCATCTCTACTAAAAATACAAAATTAGCCAGGCATGGTGGCACAAGCCTGTAATTACAGCTGCTTTGGAGGCTGAGGCAGGAGAATTGCTTGAACTTGGGAGGCAAAGTTTGCAGTGAGCCGAGATCATGCCATTGCACTCCAGCCTGGGCAACAAGAGCGAACCTCCCTCTCAAAAACAAACAAACAAAAAAACACAAAAATTAGCTGGGCATGGTGGTGCGTGCCTGTAATCCCAGCTACTCAGGAGGCTGAGGCACGAGAATCACTTGAATCTAGGAGGCAGAGGCTGAAGTGAGCTGAGATTGCGCCACTGCACTCCAGCCTGGGCGATAGAGTGAGACTGTCTCAAAAAAAAAAAAAAAGAAGAAGAAGAAGAAAAAATAAGGTATTTGTAGAATGGTCATACTTTTACAAAAACTTTGTGTTACAATAAGTAAATACACAAATTAGATTAAGGTAGTACATACAACAAAGATTAAATGATATCAAATCTTAGTACATAATGAGTTACAGAAAGCCTGAAAATTCTGAGGTCTCTCTCCAACCCTTTAATGTTGCCAACACCATCAATCCTCTTGCAGTAAGACATCCTGATAGCGGCAGGAGACAGTCAAATTCCCAGGCAGATAGGGGCAGGTGCCCAGTGAAACCTGACCTTCAAACCAAATACAGTTTAAAGCCTGAAAAACGAGCTACAAGTCTCAGATAAATCCATGGACTGGATAGACAACCTCTTTTCTTGTTTGGTGCGCTTTCCTGTGATTGATCCCCACCCTTCACCTATTTTACATATAGCTACCCTTCCCTAATTGGTTTTTGCACTGTCATGCTCATCTTTTAGTGGTGCCCTTTTTTTAGCCTTTTTTGCATATCGCAAACCAATTAGCATGCACTCACCCATTCTGAGCCTAAAAAGCCCCAAACTCAGTCACACTTTGAGACTGCCTGTCTTCCGGCAGGGGACTACCTGACTTCAGGTGCTGGGGGTGGGGTTACACAACTCAGGCACCCTCTCTGCTGACAGTTGTTTTGTTCACTCAACAAAACTTTGCCTTGCTCACCCACCAGCGGTCAGCTAACCTCATTCTTGGATGTGGGACAAGAATCATGACCCACTAAATGGCAAGTGGAAATGAGCATAGGGTCCAGACCAGGGTGCAAGCCAAGTGCAGCCCACCGGGCCAAGGGGGCAGAATACCTCCTGTGGCAAGCCCAGGGCCAAGCAAGGTCCAGGCAGGGGCATCACCAGCTGTGGAGGTCTCTGGGGAAGCAGAGCCAAAAAATCCTGTGTCAACCCCATAGTCTTTGAGACCAAAGCTTTTGGGACCAAAACCTTGAAGTGGATGGTCCGTTAATCTAATAAAACACTATCAACCTAAGTATTAATATCCTAATTATTTACTTGACAAAGGTCATTCCATTCCTTTAAACTAGCAAATTCTCCATTGAGTATTTAAAATATAATGTGATCAATAAGAATTTAAAAATAAATCTTCCAGAAAAAAATTACTTTTTTGAAAAAGCAAATGTTACTTTTATTTTTTTATTTTTTTTTTTTTTTGAGACGGAGTCTTGCTCTGTAGCCAGGGCTGGAGTGCAGTGGCCGGATCTCAGCTCACTGCAAGCTCCGCCTCCCGGGTTTACGCCATTCTCCTGCCTCAGCCTCCCAAGTAGCTGGGACTACAGGCGCCCGCCACCTCGCCCGGCTAGTTTTTTGTATTTTTAGTAGAGACGGGGTTTCACGGTGTTAGCCAGGATGGTCTCGATCTCCTGACCTCGTGATCCGCCCGTCTCGGCCTCCCAAAGTGCTGGGATTACAGGCTTGAGCCACCGCGCCCGGCCTATTTTTTATTTTTTTTGAGATGCAGTTTCTTTGTCACCCAGGAAGGAGTGCAGTGGTGCAATCTTGGCTCACTACAACCTCTGCCTCAAGTGATTCTCCTGCCTCAGCTTCCTGAGTAGCTGGAATTACCAGCGCATGCCACCACACCCCCACCACCACCCCCAGCTAATTTTGTATTTTTAGTAGAAAGGCGGTTTTACCATATTTGCCAGACTGGCCTTGAACTCCTGACCTCAAGTTATCTGCCCACCTCAGCCTCCCAAAGTGCTGGGATTACAGGCGTGAACCACTGTGTGTGTGTGTGTGTGTGTGTGTGTGTGTGTGTGTGTGGTGTGGAGATCTGGTTTTGCTCTGCCACCCAGGCTGGAGTGCAGTGGTATGATCATGGCTCACTGTAGCCTCAACCTCCCAGGCTCAAGCAATCCTCCCATATCAGCCTCCCAAGTAACCAGGACAACAGGCACATGCCATCAGGCCCAGCTAATTTTTTTGTTTATTTGTTTATTTTTTGAAATCACCTCTCATTCTGTTACCCAGGCTGGAGTGCAGTGGCATGATCTTGACTCAGTGCAACCTCTGCTTCCTGGGTTCAAGCAATCCTCTTGTCTCAGCCTCCCAAGTATCTGGGACTACAGACCTGCACCACCACACTTTGCTAATCTTTGTATTTTTTGTAGAGACAGGGTTTCACCATGTAGCCCAGGCTGGTCTCAAACTCCTGGACTCAAGCGATCCACCCGCTTCAGCCTCCCAAAGTGCTGGATTACAGGTATGAGCCATCGCTAATTTTTAAAATTTTTTTGTAGAGACAGAGTTTCACAATGTTGCCAGGGCTGGTCTCAAATTCTTGGGCTCAAGGGATCCTCCTGCTTCAGCCTCTCAAAGTGCTGGAAATACTGGCAAAAGCCACCACCACCTGGTCTTTGATTTCTAACCTATGAATTTTTTAGTTTTGTGTTACAGTGACATTAATCCCTCTATATTCTCAGCCCTTCAATAAATCGTTTATACAAACATCAAAAATAAATAAGTAAATAAAGCCCAATTCATAATAGATGGGATGACACAGTAGGTGCTGGTTAGGAGGGGAGAACTTAGGCTCCAGTGGAGTAGGCCAAGAGAACTCTATCAAAAAGGTAGAACTTGGCCAGATGCAGTGGCTCAGCCTGTAATCTCAGCACTTTAGGAGGTAGAGGTGGGCCAGTGTCTTGAACCCAGAAGTTCAAGAAGGGCCTGGGAAACACAGCAAGACCCCATTTCTACAAAAAATAAACTTAAAAATTAGTGGACATGATGGTGCACTCCTGCAGTCCTAGCTGCTTAGGAAGCTGAGGTAAGAGAATTGCTTTGGCTTGAAAGGAGGAGGCTGCAGTGAGCCGTGATCGCACCACTGCACTCCAGCCTGGGGGACAGAGCAAGACCCAGTCTCAAAATCAATCAATAAATATAAGGTGGGACTTGGGTGTTTCAAATACACAGAGAAGCAGAAGGGAGTAGAGAGTGACTATGTCAAGTAAGGGAAGGATCATGATTATCTAGAAAAACTACAGACATAAGATGAAAACTGAAGCAAACCCCAACTAGGGAGTCTGTTATATTTCTGCCTCATGAGATGAGTGGGAAACTTTGTGGCTAAATATTTTTAAGGTTTTTAGAGAGATAGGACATAATACAAAAACTGATTTTTTTAAAATAACTCTAGATCTATAAAATACTATAAGTGGATTCATGACAGTGTACAACTTCATGAGACACAGGAAGTTGTATGACAGCAGAATCATCTACACCTATGTCAAAAACATTTTTTTTTTTTTTTTACCATCAGGGATAAGAGAAGCTTTGAATAATTTCCTCACTAGACTGCAGGTTTTATGACTACTGTAAGTGTGTGCCCATTTTCTTTGCCGCTGTACTGAGACTGTAGCAACAGCGCAGGAATTCAGTAATAATTGGAGGAATTAAGTATTCTAAATGTTTCACTTCATAAAATGTTTAGGCTGTGTGTGTGTGTGTGTGTGTGTGTGTGTGTGTGTGTGTGTGCGCGCCTCCTCATTCACACACACCAAAAATAAGATCACAGAAGGGATAGGTGGCACAGAATTGCCATTAGAAAGGAGTCTTAGAAATCTTATAACTCTCTTGTTTGATGGTGGTGGGAACCACAGACCAAAAGCAGAAACAGAACACAGCTTCACACACCAATCTGTGTTCTACTACACCATGCAGCCTCTACTACTATGTTGAGTCATTTGAACCAAAGCTTCTTGGTAAGAATGATCTCCATTTTTAGGACCTGGATCTCAGCCCTCCTCAGAAATAGAATAAACACCTATTTCTATTACATAAATCAAGAAGTAAAAATGGTGAAAGGAACATAAGGAGTTTTTAATTAACTATTTTAAAATGACGACTATGCTCTAGCAACTTATCGTATCATTCAAAATGGTGTTTGGGTAACAACTTTCTAGCTCTAAAACAATTTTACAGGTAAATAGGTTTCATGTCTGAAAGTGCAAAATAATCTTTTTCACATAAGCAGTTTATGTTAGTCACAAAACAGGCATTAGCACTATCATGACATTTGTAGTGGTTAATATCTGTTGAGAGGTATGAGACATTTATCATCTGTTTCTTTAACTTCTACATGTCTACAGAACATGCAGTTCTGAACTGAGTGATGGAAAATCTGTTTTCTAGCTTTGATTTCAACATTATTAGCTAGATGGCATTTAATCTCTGTAGAAAATATTAAAATAAGTGGAGGAGAAAAGTGGGAATTTAAGGAACTTCTAAGGCTCCCTTAGACTCTAAAATTCAGATTCTATGTACCAAATTACATAATCACTTTATTATTTGTTGTGAGACCCATTAATAATAAAAATCATATATGGCAATTACAGTGCTGTGGCATTGCATGATTTCAGGAGGCAGATTTCTGTTGAATATCACCCCTGTAGACATGCAATGCATAGCCTGGATAACCACAAGTGATGATCTGGCTGGCTAAGCTCTGATGAGTCATTACTATCAGACAGGGGAGATTTAAATTATTACAACAACTGAGAAGCTAAAGGACTTGCGAAGTGTAAATCCTACTTAGAGCTGAGATGGTCAAAAAAGGCCATCCTTGGTAATCTCTCTTCAGGGAGCAACACTCATTAAAACTGTGTAAGTTCTCTTTGGTTTACTAAAAGAATTAATTGTATCAAGTATGTTTGGTGGGGAAAAAATCAATCTTGTTCCTTTATAGTTGTACGTTATTGAAGAGAGTGATATTCGTTCACCTTGGGATTTTAAAAAGGAACTCCTTTCTTCATAAAATCAGAATATTAAGAAGAGCCATAAATAGAACTAAATTAATCCATTTGACAAATTTTACCAAGTCTCTATTGGCTAATAAGTATTTTTCTAGGGACTTTGAATACCAAAATGAAAAGGAGAAAACCTTGCCCATCAGGGGCTCACAGTTCAGTGAGGAATATAAACCTAGATACATAACAATAGCAGAAAAAGGTGAATAAGTACTATAATTGCAGTGTATGTATCATAAATTGTTGTGGGGTATAGTAAAGAAAGAGGCTAATTCAGCCTGGCAGTTAAGGAGGCTTCACAAAAGAGCTGACAGTTGAGCCAGATCCTAAAGAATCAATTGATGTTCAACAGAGGCCAAGACACTCCAAGCAAAGAGCCAGGCCCAGGGTTATGAGAATGCACATAAGCAGCAGGAAAGTCTGTGTGTGCCTAGGGGCTTTGATGTGAAGCAAGGAGAAATGGGAATTGCAGCAGGAAAGTGGTATCTTATACCAAACTTGTCCAATCTGCAGCCTGTGGGCCACATGCAGCCCAGGACGGCTTTGAATATGTCCCAACACAAATTTGTAAACTTTCTTAAAGCATTATGATATTGTTTTGCTTTTTTTTTTTTAAGCTCATCAGCTATCATTAGTGTATTTAATGTGTGGCCCAAGAAAATTTTTCTTCTTCCAGTATGGCCCAGGGAAGCCAAAACATTGGATACCCCTGGCTTACACCCTTCCTCCCTGTATCTCAAACACAGGAGTCTTGGTATGTCTTGTCAAAAGCATCATGCTCTTTCTCACCTATGCTCTTCCTAGCTAGCCTCCTCTTAATTCTTCAGGTACCTGATTAAATAACAATTCCTCAATGTGGCCTTCTCTGACTACTCTATATGTATAGATTCTATTACTGCCACCCCAAGACCACCCAGAATTATCCTAGTATCCTGCTCCTTTTCTTCATAGCTCTTAGGACAACTTTTCATTTGTCTGTTGTCTATCTTCCACCTAGACTGTAAGCTTCAAGGGTTAAAGGAACTTTGTTTGTTTTACCCAACATTGTACAATTAGCTTAGGTCCTAGACCATAATAGGCGCCCAACATTTGTGAAATGAATGACTGAATGACTGAATAGTTGAATTTAAAAAGGAACGAAGGGGCCAGGTGTGGTGGCTCACGCCTGTAATCCCAGCACTTTTGGAGGCCAAGGCGGGAGGATCACCTGAGGCCAGGAGTCCAACACCCGCCTGGCCAACATGGAAAAACCCCGTCTCTACTAAAAATAGAAAATTAGCAGGGCGTGGTGGCGCATGCCTGTAATCCCAGTTACTCGGGAGGCTGAGGCAGGAGAATTACTTGAACCTGGGAGGCGGAGGTTGCAGTGAGCCGAGACCATGCCATTGCACTCCAGCCTGGGCAACAAGAGTGAAACCCTATCTCAAAAAAAAAAAAGAAAGAAAAAGGAAAAAAAGAAGTAAAAGAAAAAAGGAAATCTGAGCCAAATTAAGCACCTCCTAATATATAAGGCCAAAAATTGAGACTTTCTCATGGACAATGGAGAGTTATTAGGAATTAAAATGACTTTTTTTTTTGATATTTTATAAATAACATCTAATAAAAGAAGACCACAATAGTTATTTAGTTTCATTAATCTTGTACCTTACTTACTTCTCAACGAAGCTATAATAGGTAAAGTAATAGGTATATGTTCAATTTCTAAACCATTCTCAGTTATTCGGCGTAATCGTCCACGTAGTTTAACATTTCTTCTTATAAATTCTACTGGAATATCTGAAGCGCTTGTAAATTTTGATGTCTATGGATTTACAAGGAGAAAAATATAACCACTTATTATTATTGTCATTTCAAAATTTAAAATGTCAAATTATCAAAACATTTCACAATTAGACATAACCATCAACATTTTAAAATTTAGTTCCTAATTTTATATTACTTTAATATGATTTAATCAAATGTGTTTATGGAAACATTATTTACAAATCCTTATTCACTATTTTCAAGCCACTACATAAAGAACATTAAACAGACTCCTAACTTCGAAAAGCTTGTAACCTCAAAATAGGACACAATTCGTCAAAAGACATTGAGTATCTATCTGTGCCTGGCACCACACAAATCTGGTTAAACAGTCTCCAGCTTATTCCACGTAAGTACAATCTATTCATGCATATATTGATGGGAAAACTTAAATAAAGCTCAGTCAAATTAAATTAGAACCTTAACCAACGAGATTTTTTTTCTTATCATTTTTTTTATCTTGTAGGAGAAAAGGCACATTTAAAAAAGAAAAAAAGGCCAACATTAGGAATGTACTACAATCCCTAACACTTAGGTGATATCTTGGGATCAATCAACACTTTATGCCTACTTTTTTCCACATTGACAATACTACAAGCTTTGATCATAATTATGGCTAGCTAAGAGGCTCACATAACAGAAGGAAAAGCCAGGCACGATGGCTTATCCTATAATTCCAGCATTCTGGGAGGCTTAGTTGGAGGGTTACTTGAGGCCAGAAGTTTGAGACCAGCCTGGGCAACATAGTGAGACACCATCTCCAGAAAAAAAATGTAAAAATCAGCTGGGCATGGTAACACAGAACAGGAGGGTCACTTGAGCCCAGGAGTTTAAGGTTACAGAGAGCCATGACAGTGCCACTAAACTCCAGCCTGGGTGACAGAGTGAGAACCTGACTCTGTCAATAAATAAATAAATAAATTAGTACCCAACTTCCTATGACAGTAAAGTTGAACTGAAGATTTTTATAAACAAGAATAATGTAGGAGACAAACCCAGAATGTGGAATATACTATAGAATAAATCACTTCGTTCTCCCAACAAAACAATGGCATTGGAAAAAAAGGGTGGGAACGTATTACAAAATAAATGAGATTTAAGAAATAAAACATATAATATATATAGACTATTTGAATAGATCATCTATTTTTAAAAATCATAGAATCAAGATCTTCTGACTATAGACTGGGTATTACATGATTCTAAGAGATTATTGTTAATTTTATTAGATATGATAATATTAAAGGACAAACTAACATTACAGATCTGTTTTTTCAGACAGGGCCTCGCTCTGTGGCCCAGGCTGCAGCTCAGCAGCATAATCCTGGCTCAACTGTAGCCTCGACCTCCTGGGCTCAAGTAATCCCCCTGCCACAGCCCCCCAAGTAGGACTACAGGTGTGCACCACTACACCTGGTTAATTTTTAAATTTTTTGTAGAGATGGTGTCTTCACTTGTCGCCCAGGCTGATCTCAAACTCCTGGGCTCAAACAATCCTCCTGCCTCAAACAATCCTGCTGCCTCATGAATTCTGATGTCATAAACTAGGAAGTACATATCATCACCTTCTTGCCAAAATGCTTAGGTTGAATCTCACAAGGAAAGAAACAAATTCAGATTATGGAACACATTAAAAGACAACTGGCTTGGACTCTAAAAATGTCAGCATCATGAAAGACAAAAATTGTTTTTAAGTAGGAGTAATGGCTGGATGTGGCGGTTCATATCTGTAATCCCAGCACTTTGGGAGGCCGAGGGGGATGGATCACGAGGTCAATAGATGGAGACCATCCTGGCCAACATGGTGAAACCCCATCTCTACTAAAAATACAAAAATTAGCTGGGTGTGGTGGTGCGTACCTGTAGTCCCAGCTACTCAGGAGGCTGAGGCAGGAGAATCGCTTGAACTTGGGAGGTGGAGGTTGCAGTGAACTGAGATTGTGCCACTGCACTCCAGCCTGGTGACAGAGCGAGACTACGTCTCAAAAAAAAAAAAAAAAAAAAAAAAAGGAGTAATATTCTAGATTAAAGGAGTCTAATGAGACATAACAACTAAATATAATGCATGATCCTTGACTGAATGTTGGATTGGGAAAAAAAACAATAAAGGACATTTTTTAGAAAATACATCTGAATATGAACTTTATTGTATGTAAGATTGCTGCAGAAATGTTAAATGTATTAGATGTGCTAATATTAATGTGGGTATGTAGGAGAACATCCTTGCTCTTAGGAAGCACACCATGAAGTATTTATGGACGATGTCACATGATGTCTGCAACTTGCTTTGAATTGGTTTCACAAAGGGAGAGAGAATACAACTGTAGCAAAATGTTAACAACTGGTGAATTTAGGTGAAAGGAAAATGAATGTGACAAAATTTTTTAGGAGAAAAAGTTGGGAGGAAAAAGCTTCTGGATCTACTTTCAATATTCATTCAAGAATGTGAAATATGCAGAATGTAAACAAAAGAGAGGAGAAATGCTAAATCAAACCACAAAGAATTTGAATCACGGGACAAAGTTGCTTATGACAAGTTTATGAGAAAAACAGAGAAATACAGATTAAATATCCACATAGTCAGATGGTTCCCAACACGGTTTAGTGAAAACACTAAGGGAATACCAATGAATTAATCAACGTCAATGGAAAGTGGTACTCTAGGGGTAATCTATGGAACTCTGACCTCCAGTTTAATATGCTCACGAATGACTTGAATGATAGCATAAGGAACAAACATCAGGAGGGCTGGTTGTCTGGAAGGATATGACTGCTGGAAGTCAGGATAAGTATTCAAAAAGATTCTGACAACCAAAATCATGAACTAAATTGTAAAGACTCTTCATGTACTCCCCAAAACTAATGAAGGATGGGAGAGAACAAATTAATACCTATAGTGCTTATATGGGAGATATTTAGAGATTTTAGGGAACTGTGAACTCAAAATGAGTAAAAGTATAACACTGCTGCTAAAACAAACACACAAAAACAGAAAAAGTGCAACCTGGTCTCCTCACCACCAAAAAACAAAAAACAAGATCAAACTAAGGTAACATTTTTAGGAACAAAATCTAGAGCAAGAGAAGTGAAGGACAGATTGTCCTAAAGCAGGCCCTAAGGAGAATATATTGCGCTACTCTGGAGACTTTTTTTTTTTTTTTTTTTTGAGACAGAGTCTCGCTCTGTTGCCCAGGCTGGAGTGCAGTGGTGTGATCTCGGCTCACTACAATCTCTGTCTCCCGGGTTCAAGCAATTCTCCTGCTGCAGCCTCCTGAGTAGCTGGGATTACAACCATGCATCATCACATCAAGCTGGTCTCAAACTCCTGACCTCAGGTGAGCCGCCTGCCTCAGCCTCCCAAAGTGCTGGAATTATAGGCGTGAGCCACCATGCCTGGCTATGAGATCATATTTCATAAAAGGCTTTAACAAACTGGAACAAAGCCAGAAAAAAAGAAAAAAAAAAATAGTAAGGTGCCTGGAAACCATATCGCCCAGGAGAACTAACAGTACTTTGCCAGGGAAAGAAGGAGTTAAAAGAAGTAGAATGGCCATTAAAGATGTCTTCAACTACTAAAAGTGCATCCCTTTTAATTCTGGTGTGTTTTCTTACAATAGACGTAAGAAGGTCAAAGAGTGCCTTAATGTTTAGAGTTTTATAAATTATTAAGAAGCTGAGGGAGGAAACCGAAGGAGCATCAGTGTTCCCGCTCTGAAGGAGCTCATGTGAGAAAGATCCCATTGCATCCCATTGCATCCATTTATTTTACATCCCACAACAACAGAAAGCTCAAAGCTGTGCTTCTGTAACACAGCAGGGACTATTTGAAAGATGAACAAAAAATATACATAAAACAACCAGAATATAATTGTACAGAAATTCATGAATAGGTTTAAGATAAAGCATATATCAAAGGGGACAAAAAGGGATAGATCCAAAACATAAGAACAGATAAGGAGGCTGTCTTCACAGGAAGTAAATCCTGAGCTTGCGACAAACACAACCTACTCTCTAGGAGAGGCAGAAAGATGCTGCTGCTACAAGGATGCTGTGTCTAAGCTGCGGACGGTGAAGAAGATGTCCTAAAGGCAAAAAGATAAATGCTGGAAGCATCCTGGGAAAGACAAAGAAAATAAGGGTTTCGAATTCAAGACATAAATTTGAAATCCAGCTGTGCCACTTACTAGCTGGATGATCTTGTGAAAATTGTTTACCTCCTTTAAGTATCTACTTCCTCATCTATAAAAATCAACCTTGATCAAAAGATTATTATAAGCATTAAATGAAATTATGTTTATAAAGTGCTGGCACAATGCCAAACTCAATAATCTTTTTTATTTCTTAAATATAAAATTGGCAATTATCAACCAGTAACTGAAGGAATATAAGAACTTGATAAATAATCTCTCAGAGGGAAGAAAATCAGCAATACAAAAAGGACACTGAAGCATGACTAACACAACATCCATTGCTAAATCCCTTCTCCCTTGCCACCATGAATTTTAGGGATGGGAAAGCTAAATGGTCACTCTCCCCACATCCTTTCCAGCTAGAGGTGGCTATGTGACAGAGGATACAAACAAAAGTCTGCTGAAGGCTTCTAGGAAAAATGCTTTCCTGACAAAAGGAAAAGTTGTGGTTGGCACTGTCCTTTTCCTCCATTTCCTGCCTTGATCATGAATATGATACTTGGAGCTACAAAAGGCATCCTATGTAATGAGAAAAGGCCAAAAAATAACATGGACCTAAGCCCTTATGTCACTGAGGCCGGGAACCACCGCCAGCAGCCTACCTCTAGACTTCTTATGACTTGAGAAAAATAAACCCCTTGCATGGTGAAGCTGCTGTTGCTTGGGGTTTCTCTTACTTGCAGCCAAACTCATCTGTAATACAACAGAAGTTTTTGTTTGTTTGTTTTTGTTTTAAACACTTAATGTTTCAATGTTCTCTTCCTACTTGCTCTTCTCATCACTAGTAAGTCACCATTACTTAAAAATA